GCGTGCAAACAACGGGAACTGCGTGCGACGATGCGTGCGACGCGATGGTAGAAGCATTTACGACGATGCATCCAACGGACAATGCTGTTCGTGACGCGATGAGTCAAGTCGAGTCTAGTCGAGTCGAGTCGAGCTGCGCCGCGCAGGCCAGCTGTTAATTACCGTGAGTCGCTATTAATTGCCGAGGGTATGCGCTATCGTTGTAAATTAATAGGAACTCTTAACGGCGACGTAGATTTTTACGCTACGTACGCACTACGGACGCGCATCGCGCTGCATTGGTATGCACTGCATTGGTGCAGTCTATGCGGCCTTATACAGTCTGTGCGCTCCCTGGAAGATTGAGCCTTAATGGCAGAAAATCTAGCGTAATGGCCAAGATCTCCTTGGATGGAATGCAACGCTCGTCGTTTTGTGCTCTTTTATACCAGCATACATGATAATGCGCCGACTCTGATATAATCGAGATATACTATCGATAATTGCACTCGCCTCCATAATTCCGCATCGATCCGAGACAATCTCGAGCGGGTCTTTATCATTATGGAATATTCTCCTAAATATAACGTTTCACTATCGTAAGTAAACGTTTTTCGCACGAGTTACGCCCTTCTACTATAGATAAATTATATACTTTCAGGACAGTAGCGCGTAACCATCCGACCGCGGTAGCAACGGTAATTGTAATGAAAGTACAGTTCAGGCTTGGGGTATTAGCAACAATGTTTCTTTCACCATATATTACGCTATATTTCGGCGTGGTAATGTTGAAACCGGTTGCATATAAAATGAGAATGAGACATGCCATGTGACGTCAGAACAGTGAGAGATCAGATCCCAGAAACTAAACCTTGCACACAATTATAATAAAAAAATATAGATTGTTCAATTGATATATGATAACCGCAAGTGAGGTATTAGTTTCACAGCTGGATACAACGTATAATCGCGATAGCAACTGCAATATCAAATGATAACAGTATTATTTTGATACGTTCGTTTATTTCCTTCCTATTCGTGACACACAGTGTACTGGTAAGTCTCGTTAAAGCCGCGCACTTTCTCTTAGTTAATAAATTAAGAATACAGATTTACAAGAATTTCCTTACGAAAGAGTTGTTCTAATAAAAATTACAATAATGTGTTCTTTTAACAATTATGAAAGACTATTATACGTCTTGCCAGTTTTACACATTTCACAATAACGTAAATTAAATTATGACATTTTAGAAGAAGAATTATTTAGAGAATGTACTGTTTCGATACGTAATGTTCCCGCTGTAACGCATATAAAAGTGAATACAAATCCTTCATCATTTGCAGATTAACACATTATTTGTTAATCACTATGTAAAATCGTTTATGCCCCCTGGGGCAAAATTCCAATCGTAAGAATCATGTAATGTCTCGAACCCTCTAAAGCGGTTATCGCAATCCTACGATCGAGTCCATTCAAAGTGATTGTGTTTTCTCGAGCGTACGATGTCCCTTCACCTCCGGTTTCCTAAGGGCATCAGCTGGGAGCACCTGTCTCTCATTGTGGAAGTCCACTCGATTGCTGGCAAGATTCTTTAAGAGCGAATGAATAGAATGGGTTGTGACCGATTGACATGTGCGATCACTCGTACAATTATATTTAGATCTCGTTATTCTCATGAATAAACGAAGAGGAGATCTCTGTCTGCCATTTCTATATATTATCGAGGTCAAGTTGACGCTATATAGAACAGGTGATTTTATTGATCGGCATAGTGCAGGTGTGATTGCAATTATCGGCATCATTATAAAGAACCGTACAAGGCGCGGTTGATATAGCCTTGGCCAAAAGCTACTTTTAATAAATCCTGGTGAAATCGCTCTGAATTGACAGGCGTGATTCCGCGACTAATGACGGCTGTAAAGCCGCGAAGCGGACTTGTTCCGAGAGCTGGTCCCGAGCTGGTCTCGCTCTTCACATGCATACGAAATAGCGTTCGCGCGTTGTAACAATACGCGTCCGGCACGGTCGCGTTGTGCGTGCGGCCACGATATGAGGCGTCGGTGTGTGAATCCATACGCGGTCGCCGGTCGCCACGGTGCCAACGTGCGTGGGCTGACAGGCTGACAAGCTGACAGCAAGCCGGGCTCCGACCACCCGACACCTCACTGTCAAGCGGACTGGGACTCTCCCATAGCTCCTCTGCTCTCGTCTCTTGTCTTTTGCCGTTCTTTTGCTCTCTTCTCTCTCTCTCTCTCTCTCTCTCTCTCTCTTCTTTTCTCATTCTTATGTTTCTTTCCTTTCCCATCTTCGCTGTTTTCTTTCTTTACTCGTCTTCCGTGTCCTCAGCCGGCTGTTCTATCTCGTTCTCCAACCTGAGAGGACTTCATGGTTAAAAGGTCCTTCGTCTCGTGACTGATGCGATTAGGTCCTCGCGAAAGGGATAAAAATACTACCGTCCAAGAGCTGTCGATTCCGTCTGCCTCACGCGGTGGGATTACTTGCCAAGGATATTGATAGTTCGTCATGGCACTCTTTATTTAATTGATAGACGATTAATGAGATCGTGACATGTAACTGTTCGATTTATACGTGCGTGATGTGAATAACATTATTACAGCGTAATTTTCAGTTTGTCTTGACGCGGTTAAGTTAGTAATGGTTGCGTGGGATATTAATAAGCTGTCTATTAATAGCCTTTTATGAGTGATTAATGAGTGGTTATAACACGTGTACGTAACGGTTAAGATTTGCGCAAGACGACGCCACAGACTACTTGGGAAAATATAAAATAAAAAAATTAATTATCGTGTAATGAAGGATTTGCAAAATTTTTTTATGATTCAGTATAATTACAGCTATACAAAGTAATTATGGTTGTACGTTAGTAAAGGATGTGCTGAAAAGACGCTAACATCTTCAAGTCAGTTTTGTCGTTTCGTAGAGCCGTACACCCAGAGTGTATCGGCCAGTGGTATGCAAAGACTGTCCCGGTATTGCCATGTTGCCGACTGGCTTTTGAAGCATTTTACCGAAGATAAGCTTCGCAATCTTGCGTGAGAGGCCGGCGTACAATTATTAAGAACCGGTAGAATCCACGCTTGTTCTCGGACCGGAGCGTCTTATAGGACTTAAGTACCTATTCGTTGTTGTCGTCCACGAGAGTACGTCTCCTGCAATAAGATGCGTTTCGTGCTCGACGATAAATTTCTACGCAACGACGGACGGTTTGCTTGAGGATTCTACTTCCTGGCTGAGAAGTAACCCTCACCGTGTGTGCGTCATCTCTGCCATTCACCTTCGTCTTGCTAACATATAGGCACCGTTTTTGTTCCCGAGTTCGTCGCGCTGATCGGTATCGTTCTGCGACTTCGTATTCGTGCGTTCTCACTCTTGACGACCGCAATGTATAATATAAGATAACGTGAACGTCACGTAAATGTAATGAAGCTAATGCATCTAATAGAATCGATGCTCTAGGATATACTTTCCAAAGACTTTATGATGTTGATTTCACGCTCCAGGCGTTCGTAGATTACATAAGATTCTTATGAAAGTAAATTTATCGTATTTTTCATGCTGGTTTAACCCGTTACTTTAATCGAATTGCTTGTTAAAATTATTCATTTTCACAACTGACATAAATTTGAATAAAAGCTGTTACTTTTGAATCCTCCGTCTGTAATTTGAATATTTTTTGGCAACGAATTATAGTCTTTCACTCTTTAAAAAAAAAAAAAAACAGTTTGCCGACGAGGGAGTAAAAATATGATTAATGTAGACGGATCAAGATATATATCTTCAAATATTATTTATTTGTATGATCTGGACACTTAAAATGCTAATTCCGATCTATTGTCTTCTGCATATATTTTTGAATTTTGTTGTCACGAATCGATTTCGCGTAACATAATTGCGCAAACGCAATGCATGAGATTTACGAAAAAATTTTGACAATTTGTTATCGAGAAAAATTGGAAACGACTAGTATAATCTTATTAATCAAGTCAGTTGATTAGATTGGATCCGAACAGAGCCAATTACCTTGTACATATATATTACACACAGATGGTGCCAAGATAATCGACCGGATAGAAGAGGATAGACGCAAGCGTATATTTTACATAGCAATGGATTTCTTCGATCTTCTTTGCTTCTATCTGTGGTGTCTTACAATTCATGACAAGAATGCAGATAACATCTTGACTAACACGCAACAATGCACCGTCGAACGCATACGACATGCTAGCAGTAAATGTTCTCCTATCTATCGTAAATGAATCTTTTATTTCAATTTAAAGATAGTATCTAATCATATATGTCATATTTAATAAATCTGCGTTAATCTTGATTTTAAAAAGTAACACATTATTAAGGTCTTTTTTTTTTATTTATCATTACTATCTCAGATTACGTCAGAAGCGAGAAAATACACATTAAAAAATTTTACAAAATATGTCAATATTGAAATATAATATGTTTCAATAAAACAACTGTTGTTTAATATTGAAAAATATTTCTATATTCAAATATAATTTGTAAGAATTTTTATTTAGTGTTTTCTCGCTTTTGACATAATTTTAAGATAGCGGTGAGTAAACAGGAGTCCTAAGTGTTCACTCTAAAAAATATTGGTGAATTTAACACCATGCAACATTTTTATAATTTTCACCGTGATGGTGTTAATATTAACACTAACGAGTGTGAAAAAATCCATGATATTAAATTCATAAATGTTGCTGTTAATACACAGCATATTAAATCCATACTAATATTTTTTAGAGTAAATTGTAATTATATAACAAGTTAGATAGCGTGGACTGTGGGAAAACGAGAAAATTGTTGATAGTTTTGCTCGTTAATTTATTATATTTAACTGCTGACTATTAAATTTTCACATATCACATTTGTCAGACGCTCATTCGAGCATCCTTAATTTTCGAAAATGTAGGCGTTTCCGTAGTGCTGTCAGGCGTGGACGCGGCGAGCGAAAAGATTGCACTGCAATGCGGCACGTCGTTGGTCACAAGGCATTGTTCTCCGGTCGCAGTACATCAATTCCGCGAGCGGTCGCGAGCGGTTCACCCGCGTTGGCACCATCCGGCCAGCCCACGCGGGTACGTTCGCGTATCCAGCTGCGCTGTTCTGTTTCATTCCTTTGCGCAGAGCGAGCTGCAAATGTTTCTCGGGCCGTTATAGATACTTACATAAAGAGGGAATGATGTATGCCGCTCGATGGGTAATATAATGTAGGCGGCTAACGAGAAAGGGCTCGGCGCGGCGCCGCTCGTCGTACGTAGCTACGTACTGCGTGGCAGCAAGGGTAGATCCGTAAATCCGCAGCCTTCAACTAAATCAGCGCGAATAACGACGCCCGTCGTCGCCCTCGCCGATGGTGCATGCTTTCTGCAACGCGGGCACTTGCAGCACCTTTGCCGCGAGGCAAGGCTTTCTCGCCTTCGTGATTCCGCGACGCCTCGGAAAGGAAGAGAACGTGGAGGTTCGGGCCACGGCAAGGGCATCGTCGCCGTGTCGCCGGATCATCTCTAGAGAGAAAAAGAGAAGATCAGGGTCACACCGATATGCGACGACGAATGGAAACCAGCGTGCTGTTCGTTCGCTTGCTCGTTCATTCGCTCGCTCGTTTGCTCGCTCGCGCAATTCCAGTGTTTTATGCTCGCGCCTATGCATGCATAACGAGCTCCAAAGTCGTAACTTTCTGCTTAAACCATTCAGTTTCATGACCGTAGGAAATAACCAGTTAACAATCGCTTATGGAGGAAGGGCGGTAAGATTGGCGCCCGTTCTTCCGATTTTGATAGCTGTACTGTGCCGTAATCGTTAGCGTTAATTTTCGTATCACGCATATTCCGGATTTCTATTTGATGTTCCTTATACGAGCGACGCACTGAAAATCCATGAGACGCGAGTCCACGAACTGTTGTCCTATTTCTAGACAACGAGGCAATTATTACTACCATAAGTGTATCAGAGAAGCAGCTAAATGCGAATAAAAAATTTTTGAAGGTTTTGACAAAGTTAATGCATTGCAATCGCATCCTAATTTTCTGTTTTCACATTGTTTTTTGTCTTAGGTTGAATTTTCACAAGAAGTGAAAATTTTTACCGATGATTTTAGATCAACTCTCTTCTGGCGTTTCCACATTTTTTTCGATCTGAATGTATCGATGCAATATAAATTAGACCATCTTACTAGCTCTTTTATGGCGGAGATCAAGACTATCGAGTTTACAATTGAATGGGGGATTATCAATACTAATATATTTGAACTATAAGAGCTATAATCTTTCGGCTTTGGAGTTATTGCAAAATTTCAAACTATGTCCCTTAATTCGAGGAGATACGCAAATCTCTCAAAAACATTTCTCTCAGTTAATCATATGCACATCTTTTGTAAATGATAATGCTTCCAATTATAGTTAGGTGGCTAGATTCATGCGCTTTACTGCCTATTGACAACGCATGGCCATTAGCAATTCTAAACGGTGTCTCGCGAGAGGCGGTCATTAGCAGCAAACGTATAAGTAATAATTATACGTTGAGGAACAATCGCGCAACGTGAAGAAGAATCCTACCTACGAACGTCACTGACGGACACAGTGCGCAACTTCGTACGTGGACCGTCATTCTCTTCTTTCTTTCTCCCTCTTTCCTTTTCTCGTCTTCCTTTCTAGAGATTGCTGTGCAGACTGCGACTCTCCTCCGAGCACTAAATAAAGTAAAAGTTTAATGGCGCACATCCGTTGTTCCGATAGATATCTTAATGCGACCGGATTTTCAAGTCCCTTGAGATAAGTACGCGCCGATGAGACCCGACGGCGTAAGGGCCGTTAAACGACGGTGCATCCAGCGTTTTTTGGGTGCCACTGGGACGCGCCTTTAATGACCGTCCCATAACAATGTCGATCGGCGAAGTGGTTATTAGGCGGGATTCCGTGTCCGCCGGAGATTCCGTCCGATAACGCTTTTCGATTCATTGTATTATTTCTCTCGTCGAAAACGGGTTGTTGCTTGCGCGGCAACCCGTTTTCGTAAAAGTTCGTGGACGCGACTCAACGCAGCGGCACGTCCAATTAAAAGGACCGCGAAATGATCTTTACTTAACATAAGTCGCAACGATATCTCGATCTGCGTCCATGTTTCATTTGATCGGACGGAATAATACGCACACGATGCGTTCTTACGGTGCGCTTTCTGAATTCTAATAATCGAGCTCGTCCCTCGCACGCGCACCGGCGCATTAACTTGCATTAACTGCAAGATGCTGCCCGTATCTCATAGCAAGCGCGGCATATATTGTCGCAGATTTATATTCATTCGATGGGGATCGGTTCTCCCTTAAAGTATAGGCTCTCGCGAGAACTAGAGCGCTTCTCTACATATCGAGAACCGTTGCGTGGAAAGTCTGTAATTTCGCCGCCGGGTCCTTACTTCAGATACAAGCGCTATGAAATAATAATGGCGCCGCCGAGGCAATTACGACCCGAGGCTCTGGACTTTGTTGCCTGTCGCATACTCTGCTACCTGTCGTAAGAACTCGAGAATTACCTCTTTGGCTACGCGTTGTTGGTTCAACGACACTTTCATCATTGCCGTCGTCTTTTTAATCTAACCTTGGCGAGATGCTACGACTGCGTCATGATTATGTCGTTCGAATTGGTTTCAAATATTACGATAATGTAGCCACGCTGCAAGTCGTCTTACTCCAATGTGACATTGAGGGCCTTAACAGCAACATTAAAGCAAGTGCATTCCATCTGATTTTCTCTTTTTATTCGTGATATCAAAGGTAATGTTCGTGTCATGTAAAGTGATTCGTTGAAGCATAATTCACGTTCGTTATATGCTACATTTGCTACATCCTCCTTGCTCATTGCTTAGAAAGCTGATGAAGATTAAGAAACATCGTTTTTCATATGAATGTTAAAAAATATTGACAATTTTCCAATTATCAATGCAAGATAGCTACCACTTTCAGTAGCGAAGATTAATTCATCGAAAGGTTGAAACATTGTCAGAGCTTGTTATGATCGAGATTAATCGCGCATTGTATGACACTGTGGGCGTCAACGAGGAAAGAAGCCTCTGGTCATTAAACTCGAACATTAACAATATGGTGCGTATTGTATTGCTGATTATTCAAGCATTATATAATTGTAATTGAATATATTTTCTGTATCTTTGATGGTAATAATAGATATTTACACGAAAAGAATAACGGTTTTGCGAAAATATCTAAAAATTTAACTAAATAGAGACCTGAAAATAATTCTATTGGGTTATCAAATAATTAAGTAGGGTACTTACACTGGTTGCTGAAATGTGAAATTTTTTTGCGGCATTGCTCATCATGCTTGAGTTTCCTATAACATATTATTATTTTGATAGTTCAATAAAAATTATTTTTAGATCTGCTATTTAAATTTTTAGATGTTTCCAGAATTGTTCTTTCCGTGTATAAAATCATCTATTTGTTTCTATTTTTCGTTAATGATTTTATGTAAAAGTAACAGTAAGGATGGTCTTGTGATAGTTTTGTTCTAAAATCGGTTAGGCAAAATTTTATAGACAAGAAAATGATAAAACAACATGATCGACTAAAACATGCGATTCTCCGAGACACAACGATTCGCGGCGAATGAAAAGAAACGAGGCGCGGGGAGAGTCTAAGAGAGTCCCGGAGGAGTAAATATCTGTGGGTCAGTTCCAGGCCGCAAGGGCCACAAGTCCCTTGAACAGTCGCTATGCTGGCCGCGCGGCATGGCAGGTGAGTTATATTCGTTACTGTGCGATGGGCAGACCCGGACCCGGGGAGTGCCCGGAGGAAACGAGTTACCCTGCTTTATTCCAGTTTAAACGGTCCGTCAAAGTCACCATTACCATTCCGCAGCGCGCGAACCATTTATTTATGCGGTGCCCGGACGCGCCGCTTATTTATAGCCGTCAATTAATTATCGCTGAATAATGAGCGCACATCCGCGGAATACATTAACCGAATCGCCATTCTTACCGACGTTTACTCGCGTCTCGGGGGCGGACGATTCTCCTCAGGTCTGCCTTTTCTCCCCCCCTCCTCCCCCAGTCTACCCTCCCTCCTCAATGATCGTCCGCTCGGTAAACCCCTTAGTCGATAGTCCATCGTTCGTCTTTCCCAGAGACGCGTGCCTGCTATACATGAGACCCATATAGAAATCGGTTCACACCGCTTGCTCGTTCGATTTAGGCGAGAAGGAAGAAATACTGATAAATTAATAGCGTAAATTAATTGGTATGAAATTGATTAATTTATCGTTCATATCGAGGACGCTATGAAGCGTATATTGATTTTCACATACTAATACTGTACGGTGGATTGATGAATTAACATAATCAAAGTCACGCTTAACGAAGGCGAATAAGTGAAAGAGTGCCTGAAGATGGATCGTCGGGCGGAGAGTAGATTTGTCAATGTTGGCGCCTGAGAACTGCCGCAGATTTCACGATGTACTTTTAACGGTTGTATTTTATTTTATTTTTTTTTTATAATTTGATCGAAATGATAGCATTCTTATATTCGGAATATACAAATGTAACAGACGATAAAATTGGTTATTATTATCTACTAATTGTCAGAGCATTGTCTACTAATTGTCAGAGTCGCTTATAATGTTTTCTTAAAATACAGTTTCGATAAAAAAACAATCTCGGCAAACTCGCAATCCATGGTGACTTTATCAAAGCTATTCTTGAGACGCTACAACACTAATTAAGTACAAGCTTCAGAAAATTAAATCCCAGAAGGGGCGTTCATTGCCTATTTTGCATAATGAGGGAACCCAAGCTGGCGTTGTTAGCAACAGCAACAGTCCGCGTCTTAATGCCGCGCGATTGTAATTTCCGAGTGAATTCCAGAGAAACAGAGGAATAGCAGTGATCACTGCGTTCTCGAGGAAACGACGTGCTATTGCTGTGCGTACAAAACGTTACTCATCGATTTTGCCGACGTGCCGCGGTGAACGTGGCATCTATATGTACATATGGGGGATACAGGCCGAATAATAATAAACGGGGATAAATACCTAACGAAGGACGCGAAGGTTGCATGGCTATGGCCCATTCATATAAAGCGGACGAATCCGTGGAGGCAACAGAAGGGTACGTTCTCGAGCAAACAGCGCGGTCCACCGCGGACAATAAATGACATTGGACCGTGGTTCTCGCGACGATACGACGGCACGATCGCCGGTTTCTGTCTGGTTTGTCCTCTCCTCCTTCTCCCATGGTTTCTCCTTCCTTCTTCAACGATACGGTCTTACCCTCCGCGCCTTGACGTTCTCTTTCTTCTCCTCCTCCTCCTCCTCCTCCTCCTCCTCTTCCCTCCACCTTTTCTTCCTTCGTCCGAGCGTAGGCAGGTTAGCGTACGAGTCGCGGTCAACTCGCCAGCTCCTCTCTCTGCTCTAATGAGCTTGCTATTATTTGCTTTATTGAATGCAATTAGAGCTTACTCCGTGTCCCTGCCCCC